TGAAATAATGAAAACGGAAAAATTAGGCATCTGGCTTAGTAAGTTGTATAACTGCTTAAATATAGTACAGAGCCTATCCCCCTGCTGGTTAGCAAAAAATGTAGCATTAAGGCTAAAATAAATGGAAAATTAGCATGCCGAAATGGTTATGCCAGAAAACGGAAATCCAGCTCCCCTTAAGAACAGAACTGAAGTACAAAACAAAAACAACATGACCAAAACGGATGGATTTAAATAAGGGTTTTCTGCTTGTAGAGTTAAACCAGGATTAAGATCTGATTTAAATCAATCCATGTTGAGCATAAAGCAAGTGTGGTTTGCTTTCTTTTGGAGGTTGTTTTTTTTTTTTTTAAATTGAACTGAAGTTTACCATTGTAACAGCAGAGCTGCCTCTGAGCTTCATAAAACCCCACGTTGCCTAACGAACGATTGTTCCTTTCTTTGGGCCCCCTGCACCAAGCTCTGAAAAGATAAAGAAAATAATTCTGCCTTTGAAACCATTTATTATCACAGAACAATCTAGTATGCAATAAAGGGGAAAAGAGCGTCAGGGTATTAAAGTTAACAGCATCTGCATTCAAGAGCAGTGTCCTACCAGTACTCTCGGCGCAGACAAAAGAGAAACGGCAACGGTGAGAAAACGGCTTCAGCAACCCCGGGAGATACCACCGGGGAGAGCAGCTCCGCTCGCCCCTTCTGAACTGACCCGGGACGGTTTTCTTCCTATTCGTTTGCAAAAAAACAACGGCCAGGACCGAGGAGCGTTTCTGGTAGCGCTTCGTATTTCTGCCCTACGGAGGCCCGACTTGAGCGGCCAAGACACGCGCTTCCCAGCCGACAGATCACCTGGCCCTTCAAGCCTGCCCGCTCCTTGGGGAGGTCTTCAGAAAGGTCAGGCTAAGTCACTGGGTTGCCTTCCCCCACCCCAACCTTGCCCAAACTTTAAGTCTTCCCTTCCCTGCACGCAATCGGGTTGTTCTCCAACTTCTTTAAAACAGCTCCTATCGTGTAAGTTCCAGCAACTGAGCTCTGCCGCACTGTTTCGCTGCAGAAGACGCCAAGATTTCTGTAATTTCAATTTAGTGGCAGCTGTAACGGGGATTCCCCACTGCAAACTTAAAGAAAAGCCCAATGCCCTTGATGCAGCTGTGAGCATCCACAGAAACGGCCGCGCGTTTTGAAATCAGGCCAGAGAGTGCCTTTCTTCTTCTCTCTGACAGCAGTGATCCGGCCATGTTCAGCCCGAGGAGGGAGTGAATCCCAGGAGCTGCTCTATTGGCTTTTTTTTCCACTCATCTGCCTCCAGCTCTTCCACCAGACCGGCTAGTTTTTCCATCCGTGCAACTTGTTGATCTGCAAGAAGTTCAAAGGTAACCGTGGTTCGCAATGACATCGCAGGTAAACCTTTCAATTAGATTTAAATTCTCACCTTGTCAATGGGGAATAGAGAGTAGACTAAACCCCCCCCCCCAAACTAATTTGAATACCCTGTGCAAATGGTGAGACGACCTCACCAGATCTTACGAGACAGCAAAGGATCGGGACAGACTCCTCTGCCTTGTCCGATGCTGAACGTGTATTTACCCCATCCCTGCCCACGCCACGTAAATTCAAGTTGTAGCGGGGAACGCAAGGCCGATGAGCGTAAAGCAGTGAAAACAATGTGATGTTCTTTTCTTCAGCACAAATCTTTTTTCAGCCAGTTTCGTGCCTCAACACTTCTGATGCAAAAGAACAAGCAAGTTTAGAGAAGGCCCGGTCTGCACAGAGCCCGAGGTAGAGCAGGGTCCAGCGTGAGGAACTCTTCGTTTTAATGTCCAACCTTGGAGAAGGACCTGGGTGATAGCAGTAGAAATGCCCTGCAATCAGACCATGCTCGTGACACAAATGTCACTGAGGAGAGACGTGCTGTCTCCCTGGGGTTCCCCAAGGAAACCTGTTGCTCTCAGCTTTATTTAAAACCGGTTATGCTTTTGGCACCACGACCACGTGTTTGATTAAACTGGCTGAAGTGGTACAGAGATGAGCACGGCCCGTTTTCTCTTGACGCCACTGCAAGCTTACTAGCCTTAACAAACTGCTGGAAAAATGGCCCAGTACTAGCTGACTTACTGGCAAAAGGCACAACATAAAATGCACGTTATTTATGCTTACTGCAGCAGCAGAGGATGGGTGCTTCTGAGAAGAGGGACTGTTCTCACACCATCTCCGGCAACTAGGTACTTTTGGGATGTCTCAGACAAACAAACGATGACATCGAGCTTATTTTAAGCCTTTCCCCTTTCTTGCAGGGCGGTAATCAGTGCTCCACAAACCAGTTTGCAAAGCTGCTGCTCGTTACGGTGCCAGTCTGCGCAGCAGCCTCTGGCAGTCACAGCCACAGCAGCGCTGCAACTGTGCAAACGAGGGCTCTGAAGTGCAGCTTTGCTTTTCAGTGCAGAAACACAAGATCCTGGCTGAAATATAATGAGGGCCTTGCAAGCTGTTGCACACCCTGAGACCTCCCACTGGGAACCCTCAGTGGTGACGGACAGCAGAAATCGCGAGTTTAAGACAACACCTGGAAATGCCCATTCTAGCTGAGAAGGGGTGGAGACCAGAAAGGATGTGACCCTCAGAAACAGATGGGTTTTTTGCGCTGAGCTCAACATCTTGAGCATAAAAGCTGTTGTGCAATCAAGCCCATCATTCGGTTGTAGACATCTGGGCCACAGGCAAAGAGCCGAGGAGGGAAACAAAAGTTTGATACAACACACAAGGCTCTTTCTGGGGCAGGTACGCGGCGGAGTCAGTCCTGTCACACCACGCCTGACACTTTTGTGCGGAGAGGTGGTGCTTCCATTTTTCAAAACACCTTTGGAAACCTTACTTGACCCTGCCAGTGTCATGAGGGCTCAGCAAAGAAACAAAGGTAAAAATCAAGTGACTTGCCCAAGGCCAAAGAGACAGTCAGTACCGGGCCAAGAGCAGAACGTGGGCGTTTCCTGCCCATAACCTCCTGTTCTGGCCTCACCTCCCCGTGAAGCCGGCACAGCACAGGGCAATGGAAAAAACAAGCTTAGAAATGCACAGCCCGTTCCCACCCAGACTGTGTGGGTTCCCTTCGTTTTGCATAGGGCTTGCAACAGGACTCGGGTGATAGTCTGGCTTAGCGCTAATTCACAAACTTAAAAGCCCATTCTGCCTTTTTTTTTTTTTTTTTTTGTGGTTGAGGCCCTAGAATATGTCAGCCTCTTCTCTGCACTCCCCTGCATCTTCCCTGATCAACATGCAGTGAAAATATATAATGCTTGCGCACTTACCGTGTTTCACTTGCTTTAACGTAGATGCAACCTGATAGCTGAAGACAGATTCACAGAGGAATCTTTCTGAGCCATCTGTAAACAGAAAAAGGGAGGTGGTTTAATCTGTCCTAAGAGTTTTATGATTTAGCAGCCTTAACTAAGTGCTGTGGACCTTCTGTTTTTTATGTCTGAGGTGTGGGCTTCCCCGTTTGTCTGGTTTGGATACCTTCTCCCGTGCTGGCAGCGTGCAGCCCTTCGGTCTCTTGGCCGTGGGGCCCTGCGTCTGAGCCCCAGCCGGAGCTTTGGCTGGCTCCAGGGCCGCTCAGGGTGGGCAGGCGGCTGTGCTACCCGGGAGCTGTCATTTCTGAGAACGGCTCTTCAGGAGGTAGGAAGCGACGGGTGCCGCAGCACGCCGAGAGAAAGCCTGGTCCCCCTAGCCCACGCTTCCTTCCTAAGGAGCACTCACTTGAATAGTCTAGAGCGAGGGCGAAGGGGGTAAGGCAAAGGAAGTAACGTCCCTGCCCTGGGAAACCCAGGTCCTCTGTGGCTGGGAGCAGAGGAGAGCGCATGGGCAGGGGCTAACGCTGCTTCCCAGGACCCGCCACCACGGAGAGCTGGGCGAAGGGACCTGCTCGCGGACGAGAAGACAACAGTGGCATCGCAGCTGGCCGAGGCCTGCAAGGAGGAGAGGACAGCCTGGCAAGGGCAGCCCTCCTCAGCCGGACACCGTGACGACCCAGCAGCTCCCGCGAAGCAGTCCTGGCACGGAGATCGCGGGAGCTTTGGGAGCGTTGTGGCTCTAGGCCCTGGCCACCGCCACCTGCGAGGTGCTGGGTTTGTCGCAGCTGCTGCACCCGAGCCCGAAGCCGCGTCGGTGACGCTTGCAGCCTGAGAGGACGTGCAAAAGGTGCTCGACGAAAAAAAACTCAAAGTTCCCCCTTCGTTTCTAAAAATAACTCTAAAAAGCCAACAACTGAAGCTTGCATGCACGAGTGCCAGCAGTTTAACCCTTCCAGACACGCAGTGCTTTGGCATCTCCTCGCTGGAATGAAACTCTCTTGGTTTCTGAAGAGAAAACCGCGGCCGGCGTTTCAACTAAGTCTCACAAATTCTGCAGCGCAACCGCAGGGCCAAGAGCTGCACCAGCACCGCAGCCTGCCCTGCCGGAGGGAGGGAAACCACCACCAAACAGGATGATTTTTTTCACCGACTCCGGAAAATCCTCCCTGCTTGGGAGGGGACCTGCGCCCACTCGTACCCAGCCTGGAGGAGGCTTTGCACAAGTGCCCTTCTGCAGGTAGCTGAAGTCCCCACGTCTGCCCAGATCGGGGAGGGAACCGTCTCTCTAGCTAATCTCCTAGCAGGGGCAGAGACAGCGCACATCCTGCACGGTGGCCAGCAGCAAAGAGCGTCACAAAGACCTGGCTGGCGCAGCGAGATGTGACCGCGAGCTGCCAACAGAGACCCGCAGAAGGCGATTCTCACACGCTGGCCGGATGCTGAACGTAGCCGAGTTATTCGAGCCTTCGCCTCCTTCGGGTATGTGAATGATCATGCTTTTTTTTTTTTTTTTAAATTTGCTTGAATAATTTGTACAGTGCTGTCCGACTGGCACAGGGGTTTTGCTTGCAGTAAGGCTGCAAATCCACAAATATTCTGTCACGTTCCCTCTGTCAATCAGTTTTAGTCCATTTTAAATAGAAGGTAAGCTACGCCCAAGCCAGCGAGTATTGTGACAGTCTCTGATTTCCCTCGGGGCTCAGACGCTTGCGTCCCCATGACACTTTATGAATCCCACAGGCTCAGACCATAACCCGGCCTAAGAAATTTCAAATAATCCGTGTCTTACAATCTAAATCACTCATCGATCACACCACTGTCTTAAAACAATCTGAAACGCTTACCTAATGGTGTGCCAAGTACTAACATGGTTTATACTACTTTTTTCTCCACCCCTCCTCCCCCCAGAGGGTTTATTTTAAAAAAGTGAGATAAAATATGAATTAAAAAAAAAAAAGTCAGTCAGTCAGTAGGGGTTTTTTGAAGAGGAAACGAATATGCAGCTAGCCCACTCTTAACTGCCTGAGGAAAGAATGGGTGTATCACCTTTATCTCAGAAATTAAAAAGCTAACCTAAAGCTTCCTGCGACAGGGAAGGAGTTAAACTGTTGCTGCCACCCAAAACAGGTGAACTGCCATGTTATTGGCAAGCAGGTCAGTCCAAAGCAAAATCAAATAAATGCTCTGTGCTGTAAAAAATGAGGGAGAGAAGCAATTTCAAAGAACTACTGGTAGTAACGGACCCCAGCGCTGGGTCTGGACAACTCAATCCCAAGCTGAACTCCAGGTAATAGGGAATAATCAGAATTTCATCAGGACCAGAATATCCTCTTGCAGACTCTTGAGATACTACGCTGATGCTGCCCTGTGCTGTTTCCAAACATAACGATTGCTGCTTGAACGCTCTCAGTACTACCGGTGTGGGAGACAACTGCATTCGCTCTCCTCTGACACCCCGTTCACCTTCAGTCGGGCCATCTAGCCTAGATGGCTCTCAGGAAGAACAGCTGCCTGTCTACTCAGCAACATGAGGTGCTTCATTATTTTAATTCGTTTTGAGGGCTCATTAAGTTCTGTGAACAAGTCTTTAGTCATAATTACTTCAGTAGACCGGCATATGGACTCTATAATAAAAACCTTCACTGCAACAGCGTGATGAGTACGCAGCTGCCCTGTGCTGTGATGTCATGTTCATCTCTAATCTTTCTGGTCACACATATCTACTGGAACAGTTATTTCTGAGCTACAGGGCCATGGTCAACTGATGCATGTCTCACTGTGCAGCTGTGCACCGGCCCCGGCCGTCCGAATGGACGCCGGGCTTCAACAGTCAAACGGGTGGCCTGGTAACACAGGAAGTTCAAGACGAGCAGACTTCCAGTCCCTGGCTGAACGTGTCATGCGGACAGCTTTCCCTTCCTCCCTCAAGCAGACCACGTGGACTTCAGGCAGAGGAAACCTTGCTGAGACGGAACGTGCAGCCTCAGCAAGTTTGGGTCTCACCGTCCGAGCCCTGTTCTCCTTCAGGTGACCCTGACCAAGCAGGTGACGTGGCCAGGGTACCCGAAGGCAAGACGCTGCGCTGGCTCGGGGTGCTGGCCCTCTCCAGGTGGCCCTACGAGTTAGCTGCAGGCAGAGGACAACCAGCTCTGGAAGAGAGCTTCTCTTTGGCATCAGAAAGGCTTAGTCCGAGTTTCTCCCTAGAGAAACGCCCCCGACAGGAGCGACCTCGAGAGGGGAATGTGCTCAGCCTGGAACACTTAAGAGAGGTCTGGTCCTCATTTGTTGCTGCATTTGTGCCACGGGGCCAGACAGAAAGAACAGCCTGCAAGTAATCATCTTCCCCGTCAAGAGCCTTTATCTTTGAGAGAGCCCTTTGTGTCGCTCTCACAGACCTCGGCAGCAAGGTCTTAATTCAGGCTGAGGGCAAAGCAAGCCTGCCAGTTCCTGGCTAGCAGGGATACAAGCTGTATTCCGTGTAAGCCCAGTCAAATTCAACCCCAGAGCACGTTTTGCTAGGAAAAATACCCCTGCCTCAGCTAGCTTTACAGTAATTCCTGCCTGGCATCAAAGGATTAGCTAACAATGAGCAATTAACACTGACATGTTCCCTTTCAGGTAGAATATATCGCTTCCTCATCTGAAGCGTTGTCATGGATCTAAAAACCACGTGACTGCAAGACAAGTCACTTCCTTGTGAGTAACTGGAGGGAGGGAGAGCTGGGGCTGCAAGTCAGGGCATGGGAAAAGTCACTCTGACCTATCCTCGCCCTAGGGTTTCCTTCTTCCCTCCAGCTTTTGCCAGCTACAGTCTAAAATGGCGCTGAGGTCCTAAGCTTGGCATCTCCT